ACGTTGTTTCAGCTGTCATCAAGGATATAAGAGCTACAGATACAAAAAGCATTACTGGTGCTTTATCTCAACTAGAAAGACAATGGAATCCAGGGCGGAAGATCCGGGCTCAAATCTAGATGTGAACAAAATTTATTTAGAGTTTATTTTTTACATAAATGGTATATTTCTTACAGTAAGATGCCCAAATTTTTATTTGAGACTCGCCAAATGGCATTGAATTCACAGATATAAAAAGATGTGGGTTCAACTTTCATTTTGGATCAATTTTTCAAGCAATGGAAGGGAATGATCTGAGCATGCAGGAGGACTGACCCATCTTAAACCTTTGTCGGCTGTGCTGAAGAGAAAGGTACAGAACCAAATTATTTAATTAATTAGCTGCACGTTCTCCTGTCCTCTGTCCTCCGGGCCACACACACACACACACACACACACACACAAACACACACACACACACACACACACACACACACACACACACACACACACACATGGAGCTGACTGTCAGCTGTTATTTTCGTTAAGGAGTGTGCACGTACAGCATGCGCGCCTCGTGCACAAGCCCACTATTGAAGCTGCCGTTACGCTTTTTGCCTGAGGGGGCAATCGCGAGCATAAAAATTCAAACCTCCGTAAAGTCCCTTTAAAAGGAAAATAGTCTTTATAGGAATTTTATTAAACTACGAACTAAGGAAGCTGAAATTATTTAGATATAAAGTTTACTAAAATAAATTAACTGAAATAATAAGAACTAGTAAAAAGATAAATTACAGAAAAATCCTAAATGAAAATAAGAATAACTTAAAAGGTGTCTGGGATATACTAAGAAATCACAATATAACTATAGACACATTACTTTGTCTGTGTGTGTGTGTGTGTGTGTGTGTGTGTGTGTGTGTGTGTGTGTGTGTGTGTGTGTGTGTGTGTGTGTGTGTGTGTGTGTGTGTGTGTGTGTGTGTGTGTGTGTGTGTGTGTGTGTGTGTGTGTGTGTGTGTGTGTGTGTGTGCTCTGTCTTCTCGATCCCCAGTGAGTCGTGGAGGATGGCTGCTTATACTGAGCCAGGATTCTCTGGAGGTTTCTTCCTGTTAAAAGGGAGTTTTCCTCTCCACTGTCGCTTTATGCTTGCTTAGTACGAGGATTGCTGTAAAGTCACACTAGTCAGTGACTTGATGCAATTTGCTGGGTTCCTTATATAGGAAACATTATTTCTGATTGGCTTAATGAACTGTCCTGAATTGGAATGTTTATTATGTGAAGTGCCTTGAGATGACTCTTGTCGTGATTTGGCGCTATATAAATAAACTTGAATTGAATTGAATTAAACAAATTAAGGAATGGTGGGACGAAGAAAATACTATACCCTGAATACTTTACTGATAATCAAAGTGATATTTATGATAAAATAAAAGTAGTTAATAGAATGAATGAATATTTTGTGAATGTGGGCCCAGAGCTCGCAGCAAATATACCAAGCCAAAAATACAGACAATAAGTGAACCATTGATAAAAAACAAACTACCCCGACTCATTCTTTTTAAATAAACACGAAATACAAAACCATAGTCAGTACGGATTCAGAGAAAAGAGGAAAACAGCACCGATGAAATAATTAACACATTAAATAAAGGTAAATATGCTATAGGAGTATTTATAGATTTTAAGAAAGCTTTTGATACAATAACCCTTTGATGCATGAATTATGAAATCTTCAACCATGATTTTTTTAACATTTTTTTTCATTTGTCTTTAGGTGTGAATGAAACAAATTTCAACAAATAATTTTTGTAAAATTTTGTAATTTACAAATCATTTATTACATGTCCACCTCAGTGGACAGCGTGCATTCTGAGCATGAAATATGTTGGCTTGACTTACTGAAGTCCAAATGGAGGGGCTCACATGCAATAAAGTCTTCAACAGCTGTGCTTAATAGCAAAAACAAATAAATAACAATTTTGAGTACCTGTCCACTGTAGTGACCATTATGCATCAAAGGGATAAATCACTCAATTCTCATAAACAAGCTACAACAGTACGGCATTAGGGGAATAGCACTGGACTGGATCACCAATTATTTATCTAAGAGACAACAATTTGTGAAAATGGATTATGTCACTTCTGAAAGTATGCATGTATGAAAGTATGCAAAGTATGAAGCAACTGTTAGACTGTAAATCACTCCATATTCTGTATTGTTCATTAGTTCTGCCATATATCACTTACTGTATAGAACTTTGGGAAAACAATTATAAAAATGCACGACACCCAACATCAGTATTGCAAAAGAGGGTAATACGTGTCATTCACAAAGTTGGGTATCTGGATCATACAAATTCTTAGTTTTTACAGTCAAAATACATTAAACTTCAAGACCTGGTTCATTATCAAACAGCTCAAATCATGTTTAAAGCTTGTAAGCACTTATTGCCACCTAATATTCAAAAGCTCTCCAACCAGAGTGATGAGGGATATCAGTTACGAGGGATTAAAAATTTTAAAATGCCTAGGGTAAGAACCACTAAAAGGAGTTTCTGTGTATCAGTATGTGGTGTGAAACTGTGAAATGGGCTGCAGGAAATACAGCGTCCAAATGTAAACAAATTTAAATCACTGTATAAAAAAATGATAATGAATGGATATGAAAATTAGGTTCTCTGAGGTTATGGAAACTATGATGTTGTCATTATTATTTTGCTGTTGTTTATGTTATTATTGTCATTGTTATTATTGTTATTACTGTCACTAGTAACATAATATGTCAATGCAAAATGCTCTCATTAGTAGCTGCATATATATATATATATATATATATATATATATATATATATATATATATATATTTTATTTATTTGTATATATATATATATATATATATATATATATATATATATATATTTTAATTTATATATATATATATATATTTATATATATATTACATAATATGTATGTATGTGTATATAAGTATATATGAATATGTTTATAGATAGATAGATAGATAGATAGATAGATAGATAGATGATAGATAGATAGATAGATAGATGATAGATAGATAGATAGATAGATAGATAGATAGATAGATAGATAGATAGATAGATAGATAGATAGATAGATAGATAGATAGATGATAGATAGATAGATAGATAGATAGATAGATAGATAGATAGATAGATAGATAGATAGATAGATAGATAGATAGATAGATAGATAGATAGATAGATAGATAGATAGATAGATAGATAGATAGATAGATGATAGATAGATAGATAGATGATAGATAGATAGATAGATAGATAGATAGATAGATAGATAGATAGATAGATAGATAGATAGATAGATAGATAGATAGATAGATAGATAGATAGATAGATAGATAGATAGATAGATAGATAGATAGATAGATAGATAGATAGATAGATGATAGATAGATAGATAGATAGATAGATAGATAGATAGATAGATAGATAGATAGATAGATAGATAGATAGATAGATAGATAGATAGATAGATAGATGATAGATAGATAGATAGATAGATAGATAGATAGATAGATAGATAGATAGATAGATAGATAGATAGATAGATAGATAGATAGATAGATAGATAGATAGATAGATAGATAGATAGATAGATAGATAGATAGATAGATAGATAGATAGATAGATAGATAGATAGATAGATAGATAGATAGATAGATAGATAGATAGATAGATAGATGGACGGACGGACGGACAGACGGACAGACGGACGGATAGACAGACGGATAGACGGACGGATAGATAGATATATGCAGCTACTACTGAGAGCATTTTGCATATGTATGTATGTATGACAATCCAGACTTTTCTCATGCATCGTTCCACAAATGTGGAATGACCTTCCAAGCACTACCAGAACTGCGGCTTCCTTTTCAATTTTCAAGAAACTTCTGAAGACCCTAGCCTGGCAAGCCAGATTAAGTAAATGTATTTTATTTGCCTCCTGTAGTTGGAATCATAATCATGCTGATTATGCCTGGCATTTGTGCCTCAAGCCTCAGAAGTTTTCTGATTAGACCCGGATCCCAAGACAGAAGAAATATTGCAGGTTCTTCATCCAACTGAAAATGTTTTTACTCTATTGCAAAACAAGTCACAAAAAGTAATTTCTGTTTGAGATGAAAACACTCTTTTTTTATGTTTCAAATAAAATGACTATAATAAATGGGTCCCAGAGTTTAGGAACCTTTCTGTGCTTGAATGAGTCCAAGGGCAGCATTTTAGCAACAAAACATTTATAAGAAAATGATCAGATACTGATAATGATCAGACCTGACACTGAGAAAACAAAAATTATCCAGAGAGGTTCCACCCCCCCCACCCCCACCCCAAAGAAAACCAGTAAAAGTCTGTGAAAATGTGAAGAACAGACAATGTGTGTTATGTGGAAATGAAGTAAAAATGACATAATGTGGCAAAGATTGCTTCCTGCGACCACTTTAAACAACCCTGGAGCTTTTTGCCGATTGTCGTCAAATTACATTTGTCAACGCTGTAGTATTAGCTCATAGGGGACACTGCAACCCCACACTAACTGATCCAGCCAGCTGGATATGAAATATGTTTCAGTGTAACCTTCCTTTAATAGTGACTGAAACAGACTCTATTGTGATTTTCTCACTGTAAAACTTTCACAATAATCTTACATACTGCACCTTTAAAAATACTTAGAAACGCATTCTTTGAAAGTTTTACTTGAAATTTTATTTGAAAATGAAGATTATGGAAATAAAAATATTTAGGCTTAGTGAAACTCCCATGTTAGTGTGTCTTTGCTGTATATTTCGTTGAAAATCCACTTTCCACTTATTCTTTATTTGGGTTTCATGCTAAGTTTGCCACTAACAGTATGGTGACGGCATTGACGAATGCAGCAAACGAGGATGTTCGCACTTTACAGAACGTGATTGCGCGTCCTAGTAGGATAGTTACGGTACTGGGCATGCGCAGTGTTCCCAAGCATCATCAACATTGAAGGAGGCGAGGACGGGAGGAAAACAGTGGCAGCAGGAGACCTGAAGTTGGTCGGCTCCTTCCCTTTGTCGCCGTTTCTCTGTGCTTATACAACACAGTTCCACTGTAATCCGTGAAATCATCCTGCTTGATTTAATTTTACGCAGACAATCCTCCTGATATTGGCAATCAAAAGGTACGTATTCGGAGCTAAATTAGCTAGGCTGCTAGCACTTTTCAACGTTACCGAGAGGCTGCTGTTTCCTACCAACAACTTATCGATAACTGAGCGACAAGTTGACCAGCAAGCCGACAAGGACGGCGTGTATGTTTGAGCTACAACGTGACTGTGGTGGCGATTACAACATCAGAAGTGATTTAGTGTATTTAAATTCTACTACATATTTTTAAATATGGTAAAATTAAGGTTGATTAGCAACAAGCTAACTACTTCAGTAACGGGTGCTTAGATCGTGACGTTCAGTATTAGATACGATTAACTTTAAGGATCTCTGTATCATGTAGCAAAGATGTAATTTAATGTTCGGTTAACATCATGGGTTCGTCTGATCCACAGCTGTCCGAACCTGCAGGCAGGATGATGATGGAAGAATCGGTGAGCGCCTTTGAGACGCATTTGACAGCCGTCATGGACAGCTTGATCCGCGCCTCGGTCTGTGAGATCACCAAGCTCTTCCAGGAGACCGTGAACGACTACCTGGTGGAGCTGTCCCTCAACAGGAAGGAGAACGACGCTCTGAAGCTGCGGCTGAAGTTCACCGAGAGCAAGCTGAGGACCGAGCGCATGTACGGGATGGGCTGGGCTGCCAACCGCCGCAACGCCGGACTGGAAGAGGGGTCTGGAGGGAGGCACAGGCGGAAAGTTGACCTGACTCGTGAGTGTTTGATACGAGCTGAAGCTTTCCAACTCAAACCACATTAATCAGTGTGTTTTTAATCAGAGGAGGGCTCGAAGCATTCTCTGACACACTTGTTTTGTTGGAAACCATCTGGCAAGAGCTGATCTCTCCCTCCTCCCTTCCTCCTCTGCCTCCTCCTCATGATCTCTCCCTGTGTCCTTCACCTCCCCCTCTCCTCTCTTTCCACTGCATTCTGTTCCTCCCACTTCCTACTTCCTCTCCTGCTTTGCACTCCTCTCCCTCCCCCAACCTCCTTCTGTCTCTCTCCAACTCTCTCCCTCCCCTTCCCTCTCCTCCTCCTCTCCTCCTCCCTTCCCCCACCTCCTCCTACTCTGTTCACTCACACACGTACTCCCCTGCCTCCTCTCCTCTCCTGCTTCTCTTTCCATAATTACACACTCCCTTTTTAATTCAACTTCACTCCTCTCTGTCTCTCCCTCCCCTCTTCCTACTTCTTCATCCTGCCCCCATTCTCGCTACTTTAACATGTCCTCCCTCTTCTCCTCTTCCTCGCCAATTCCTCCTCCCCTCTCTCTTGTATTTGTCACATTTTTCTCTCCATCCCTCTCCTCCACGTCCTTCTACGCCCCCTCTCCTCACTTGTTCATCTTGCTCTCTCCTTCCTTCTTGATTCCTTCTCTTTCACCTCTCCAATCCTCTAATTTCTTCTTCTTCCTCCTCCTCATCATCTCCCACCTCTCCACCTTCCTCTCTCCTTCATCTTTTGCTCCTTGCCGTCCAATCATCTCCTCCCACTCATCTCTCTCCCCCTCATATTTCATCTGCTGTCCCTCTGTGTCCTCTTGTCTCTCCATCTCCCGCCTTCATCACCCTCCCTCCTTTCTCTACAGGAGGCAAGTTGAAAAAGAGCCCAGCAGCAGCAGCTCATGCCAAAGGCTGGCCTGGGGGTGTGTGGGAGGAAGGAGGCGGTGGCGGGGGAGGAAGCGGTGGAGCTCTGGGCTTGGGAGCAGCAGCAGGAGGAGGAAGAGGGGGGAAGGAGGCCAGGGAGGCATATCTCGTCAAGTTCCCCCAGGATGAAGAAGACGAGGGAGGGATGGTGGATGATGAGAACGGGGAGGGCAGCCTCAGCGGTGAGGAGGAGGAAACGGCCAACATCAAAGAGGAGGAGGTGAGGGAGACGAGCTTTCTCAGAGGAGGAGAAGTAGGAGGAGAAAGTGGCAGAGCATCTCTGCTGCTCAGCAGCTTCTCAATGTTGACACAAACGCAGAAGGATAGCAGAGAGAGAGAGTTCGGCCTCAAATCACTCAAATCAAGTCCATCCCTTTAACATTCAGTTTCCAGAGGAGCTCGTTGAGTTTGGAGTGCTTCAGATTCCAGCTACAGCCAGATTTTAGGCTCAAACACTTCTGGGGGGGGGATTAGTTTAGTCATGTGGCAGTGGTTGTAATCATCTCAGAAGCGTAAATGTGTACTTAATAATGTAATTTCAGCTTTAATAATTTTCATTCTTCATCAAATCTGCTGATTTTAGAAGCATTCATGTCAGCATGTCGGTTATCGGCCATAACCCTGATATTAACATCGGATATCGGCCCAAAAATGTCATATCGGGGCATCGCTATTTCACACATAATTTTTCTCATTCCAGCCTAAATCTACAGTAGCAGGTTTATTTTAAGCTTGTTTAAATGTTTAGTTTCAAACTTCTGATGCTGATTTTTGTGGTAATAGATGTTTAACCAGACAGTTGTCGAACAGTTGCCTTCCAGTAAAATCTGTTTGGTTTTCTCATGAAGGTTTAGAGCTCCTCCATCATCCAGCTCTACTCCAGAAATGGCTCTGGGTTTATTTTTCTACGTTGTACACAGCTTTGCAGCTCTGTGCACAAACATTTCAACTCTTGAGTTCTCTGATCAGGAAGCCAATTGCTGTTTGTTTGGGCAGCAATATCTGTTAAGTATTTACAAAACCTTTACATTCTCATAGCATAAACTTGCAAACCTGCCTGACCCCGATTATCTTAAGGTCTAAGGCCTTAGAAAAAAAGCGTTTTAGGGTTTAAAATATCTTGTAACACTTGAATATTTCATTTGTATTCTGCTCTTCTCATGTTGTACATCTTCCTCCTTTCTCTCCTCACCTTTATGGTGAACTAACAGCGGTGGTTCAGAAACAAAAGCTGTTGTAAATCTAAACCGTTGTGTCGCTCAAATGTAAATGTCTTCTACTTCCTGGAATCAGCTGTTTGCCCAATAACGCCGTTCTATTCTGTGCAGTTTTTCCAGTCAGAAGGCTTTCAGCCTGCTTCTCTCCATCTGATCAAGGAGGCTTTGAAGATGAATCAACCCAAGCAGAACCTTCACATTAGCAGTAAAACCCAGGATGAAGGTACTGATCCCAGGAGGACAAGTCAGAAAAGGTTTCAGACTCTGGTAGTTAAAAAGGAATGTCCTCCTCGCATAACCTCCTCCTTTTTCCTCCCTTTGCAGAACTGTCACATAATCCCCCGACTCTTAATCCCAGACAGAGGGAGGACAAAGACTGGGTGGTGGACTCTACAGAACCATCAGAGGAGGGCATGACGGTGGATGAGCTGCAGGGTCTGGAGTCTGCTCTAAGAGTCGAGAGAGGCCGTGAGCAGGCCGCCAGAACGAGTTCACAACCAGATAGGGCAAGAGGGGGTGACATCAGCGGGGCCCCAAAGTACATTGGTCTGGATGGAATGGAGCAGGGGGAAGAACTGGATCCTCGGCCCCCCACTCTGCAGAGAGAGGACCAGGTAGGACAAGGCCGGCTGAAGGAGGGTGTGAGGGCTGCAGTAGAGCTGAGGCTAGGCTGGCCAAAGAAGCTGAAGGAGGAAGACTCTGTTGTAGTTAAATCTGGAGACGATGTCATGGATCATTCAGAGTCCGAACTGCCTCACCTGTCTGCTCCAGGAAGCGTTGGGGAGAGCGGAGACGAGGACGGAGGGGTGGACCTGCTCCACTTCTGCCCACAATGTGGAGGAGGCTTCACCTCCGAAGCAGAGATGGATGAGCACCCCTGTCCACTAGGTGGTGCCCACCCACAGGGCAGCGGGTCAGAGGATGGCCTTTTCCCTTGCGCCCACTGTGGGAACACGTTCAGTCACGCCTGGGCTCTGAAGAACCACGAGTGCGCCTGCGCCGCCGAGAGGCCGCACTGCTGCGAGATCTGTGGGAAACGCTTCACGCATTCACGCTCGCTGGAACGCCATCATCTGGTGCACACGGGCGAGAGGCCGCACCGCTGCCCACAGTGTGGGCGCTGCTTCAGTCGTCTGGGCAACCTGGAGCGGCACCAGAGGATCCACACGGGAGAGCGACCGTACGGATGTGAGGCGTGCGGGAAACGCTTCAGTCGAGTGGAGTACTTAAAGAGACACCAGCTCATCCACAACACAGAGAAGGCAACGCTGCAGTGTTCCAACTGTGGGCGGGGCTTCTGTGAGGTGGAGCAGCTGAAGAACCACCAGTGCTTTGAAAATCCATGTTAGGCATCATAGAGGTGTCAGCTGGTGAATGGGACAGATCCTCAGTGAGGGGGAACGGTGCATATGTGGATGAGTTTTGCTGGCAAGAATTCACCTGTAAATGCTTCTTTATTGGGGGGGGGGGGCTGACTCAGTCGTTTTGAAACGTGTCGAGCTTCAACTTATTTATAATGAAAATTACTTTGTGCATTTGCTTAGCAATGATGTTTTCTGGCTGAATCTTTAAGGGTTTGTATGTTTGTGTTTTTGTCACAACAGTTACATAAATAAACCATGATGTAAGGTGCTCTTCCAGGGTCTTGTCTTCTCTGGTTTCAGGGTGATTTCTTCCCACAGCTGCACATGCGGGGAGTTATTTTCCGAGGCATTCCTTTAGGATGAGCAGCAGACTACAGGTACTCGGGATCAGTCATTCATCAGCTTCAGTTCACTTCCTCTTAAGCATTCCTCCAGCGATCGCATACACGTAACCAGTGCGGTGCGTTTTGGTTTTTATCATTTCTTGCTCCTGTTGAGCTCCTGGACCCATTTTTTGGCCTTCGCGGGGTGAAAGAGGTCTTATTCTGGTGTATTGATGGTTTAGTGATCCCTGACATTTGTGTTCCTCCCCTATTCACTGAGCAATGTTGAGAAAAACTTTAAATTATATTCAAGTTTCATCCTTACTTATTAACAATAACCAAGGGGGGCTTTTTAAAGTCAGTTATACTGTTTGGAGGAGACTCAAGACTGTGGACATCAACCACATACGGTACTTTTATATGAGCTGGTGTGTATTCCCACATTTTACCTGCAGCTCATTAAACAAAACGTATTCACTGAGGCTGTCGGGTTTCTCTAGATGAAGAATGCGGCAAGATTATAGGTTGGGACAGCCTGGATATGTGAGAGTTATCTTTGTGGCACTTGTAGATTTGGACAGCTGTAGCTCAGGAGGGAGAGAAGGTTGCAGGTTCAACCCCAGCTCCCACCAGAGAGTGCTGTTGTTGTGTCCTTGGGCAAGACACTCAACCCTCCTTGCCTGCAGGTGGTGATGGGATGGACAGTGTGCCCCAGGGCAGCCGTGGCCACATCTTGGCTCATCCCCACCAGCAAGTGAATGGGTGAATGGCTGGTGTGTGACATGTGTTCTCTGCATGTGACCCATCCCCTGGGGAAGACGTGTGCTGCAGACATGGCTGTTCTCAGGATCATTTGGTGGGTTAACCTGCCCCCCTAATAGAGCCCTTTAATGCTGAGCGTCAAGCGCAGAGGCTCTGGGTCCCACATTTAGTCTTTGGTATGACCTGACCTTGGATTCAAACATACAATCTCTCAGAGCGGACACTCACACCACTAGGCCACTGAGCTGGAATCAGCATTCTGAAAAGGTTTTGCTGATCGATCCAGAGCCCATGCCACAGAAACATGGCAGGAGAAACAAAACTGCCCTGGAGGAGTCCTGGAGAAGCTTGTTCTGTGGCTTTGGGGTGACAGTCTCTCTGCTCCTTTAGGACAAGTCTCATCAGTATGTTTCGCCCAGCCTGAGACGGGGGAGGTGTGTGGATTTTGCAAATCTCACATGAATTATTAATTAGAAAGATTCCAATCAAAATTTCATTAACATTTTAAATATTTTCTGACTTCTGGGTCATAATTATTAACCAAAATGTAAACAAAATAAAACTGTCAAAGTTTCTTTTTTTTTTACCTCTGCACACCCTTTCTGCAAAGGAGGGTCTAATAAATATTGAGATGATTTATATTTTGTTGAGCCCAAATTTATGCAGTTATTAAACACTTTCTATAAATCCTAAAAGCTTTGTTCTACTTCTTACGTCTCCTATATGATACATTTAACAGATTTTTTTTAATCGTAACAACCAACGATTTTTACAGGTGAAAAAAAGATTAACATGGCTGCCCCAGACTTTCGCATCCCACCGTGTTCTAATGGCTAAGAGAACAAAATGTTATTCCAGCTTTCAGACACTGGAGGGCGATAAATCCCCGTTTTCATATTACGACCTGGCTTTCCATCCCCCATAAATTTAATTGCTTTTAGCTGTTTTGTATTTACAAACATCTGTTTTATCGTGTCTTATTTCTTGATTACGTTTTTAGCTTCATGTATTACCTGTTCAGCACTTTAGTCAGCTCTAATGCTGTTTTTAAAATGTGCTTTATAAATAAACCGGAACTGAAACAGAACAGTGTAGCTAGTTTAACTCTCCTCACAAACTAGGTGTTTAAAGCTGCCTCATAAATAATTTTTTTAGCTAAATTAAAAAATGACTAGCAATTCCAGCTTTTGCAACACCAAAATGCCAAGGTATTTAATTTGAAAGCATTTAAAGAAATTGTTTCTACCAACTAACTCTCCAGTTTCCCCTTCTCCTTCTACTCCTTAATATTAATATTCCCAAGAGGTCAACAAAAAGGTATACATTTTTAAAGCTTAAATAAAAGTAAGGAGGCTAAAAGATTTCATTCTAAATGACTAAAAAGAACAGAAGTGTAGTCTAGCTTTCAGACACTGAAGAGCAGCAAGTACCCATCTTCCAATATAGAGTGTTGTTCTAGTTTGGGCCAGCAGAGAGCGCAAATTCCCTTTATTTTAAAGCAACAAAACAGTGTAGCTAGCTGGACTTGGCTCTACATGCTCTACACACAACAGCGTGTTTAAAACTGGCACATAAATACAGTTTTAATTTTGTTTTAGGTAAATGAAAAAATAAAATGACTCTTAGACCGATTTTAACTGTTGCCAACACCAAAATGCCATAGAATTTCATTTTGAATGCCTTATAAGAAAGTGTTTCTATCCAGTAACACTTGCATTTTTAATCCAGTTTCCTCTTCTCCTTCTATTCCTCTTTAATATAAATTTTCCCAACAGGTCAACAAGAAGGATTCGATTTTTATTGCTTAATTAAAGATAAGGAGGCTAAACTATTTTATACTAGATGGCTAAAAAGAACAAAAATGTAGTATTAGCTTTCAGACACTGGAGAGCAGCAGCTCCCAGTCTTGCTATTTAGGGTGTTGTTTTAGCATGGGCCAGCAGAGGGCGCAAAGGGGAATTCCTCCCTGAAAGAAAATTGAGGTGTTGTTAAATATCACACAGTGGCGTTCTATTTGTCTAGATTAGTGTAATGTTCCTGTTTGTAGTTCCTCCTGTTAAGTGCCCATTTATTTCAATTATTCAGTTTTATAAAAACATTTGGAACATACATTTATTATGTTCCAGTCATTAGTCATTTACATTTCAGTATTGTAGTAACTTAAGAGGGGAACCCATTTTTCTTGCATTCTTTGTTGAACAAAAAAGTAAGACTTCCTGCTCACTCATTTTAAATAAATGATCCAGTAAAAGAGTAACTCAAGTTAATCCTGCTTTAACCGTACATAACTGGTCCATATTTGTTTTGATCTGTAAATAATTGTCATATACTATAAATAATCTTGTTCCCTTACCATCTTTTCATTTTCTGTTTCTGTAATATGTTCAAAAATATCTGTAAATAATAAAATTGGTTTAAAAAATGAATAATCAAAATGAGTTATCAGTCAGTGTTTTTGTTAATTAATGTGTTCAAATATCAAACAACTAAAGAACAACATTAACATGATAACAGTAGAAGGTCTCTCTCCCTGGAGGACCACCAGGTAAAGCCTCTCCTGACTCAGGACACCTCAAATCAAATCAACTTTATTTATATAGCACTTTTCATACAAAAAATGCAACTCAAAGTGCTTCACAGATTAAAATGGCCCCATAGATCCCATATTCCCATCCCAGCCCCCCTCTCCAAGTATAAAACAATTGACAATTACGGTTCCCCTCCCGCACCCAACTTCCAAGGTGGATATACAATCACCCGCACACTCGCACACGCACACACACACGCACGCGCGCACACACACACACACACACACACACACACACACACACACACACGTGAACAACAGAGGAAACAATAGGCTGAGTTCAGATGGGTCAGGTAATGAACGACACATCATCAGCGGAGCCATCTGCCCTGACAGCAACAGATCCACAGCAGCAGCCAAGACACCGGCCCATGATGCACAGGGGGGGAGGGCGGAAACCCCCCACCACTGCCCGGGCACTACTCGAGGAGCGCCCCGGCCGCCGCCACTGACCACCGGCCCCAAGGCAGAGGGCTCCGCAGAGGAAACACTGGAGGATTAAAATATAAAACTGTAAAATAACAAAAGCTAATATGGATAAAAAGTAACTGATAAAAAGTGATTATAAAGATAGTAAAAGAAAACGTAATCATGAAAAAACACTACGATGTAAAAAAAAAGATAAAATTAATTAAAGAAGATAAATATATATATATATATATATAAACCAATATGACAGACGATTCAGTTAAACAGACTAGATAAATAGTAATCAGTTAAAAGCTAAGCTAAAAAGGTGGGTCTTGAGCCTAGACGTTCTCATCGGCCCTGAGGTCCTCCAGCAGCCCGTTCCAAAACCTGCAGTCCTAAACAGAGAAAATCAGAACTCACAGGTGACAAAAAGGCAATAAACACATTTTTACATTTATCCACATGAGAAGATAAAAATTATATTCCTCACACACAAAAAATTTAACTGTTCTTTAAAATGTGTCAACTGTGTTAATCCCTGAATGTAAAATGGTCCTTTTCACAGCAGAACACCAGATGAACTACTGTGGTCATGTGTAGAAAGGTTTACTCTTCATCTCTAAGCTTGATAAAAACACTTCTTTGCTTTATTGTTCCTAAAGCAAATGATGAGAATCTTAATTCGCTAAAGAAATACACACACACACACACACACACACACACACACACACACACACACACACACGGGAATTACTATGGGACCTGCCATACAAGCTCGTGCTGATAAACCAAACGGCTTCAAGCTTTTTAGTTTTCAACCACAATTTTTTTAAATTAACCTCTGCTTAAAACTTCTCCTTTTTCTCTTCCTGTTGAAAATCCACAGCTGGCATGCAAAGCATGCTGGGATAGCATTGCTCTGTGAGGATACACCAGTCCCATCCTCGAAATGTGGGTGGAGCGAGGACGCATTTGAGAGAATGAGTATTCTTGGAATTCGGACAGTACTCGTCACTGCGCTGTGACGTCATGGACCTCAAAATGCGTCCTCACAGGCATCCTGCCCCTGGATTCGGACACACCCAATGATTGAATAATACACAATCAAATGAATAATAGGTTAAATGAAGCTGCAAGACCAAGACTGAGCGCACTGTTGTCTGAAGTAACAAGCAACGAGTAAGAAC